GCAGAAACAAGCACCAAACACAGTGATAATATGGATAATATGGAGTGTACCGAATGTATCCTTAGATGCGCGCACACTGGCTGGCTTGTAAACACTGGCACACAAGGGGCAGTTCAGGCCACATGTGGACAGGTCTCGTACGAATTGTATTGAATACCGGGTTTTCAATTGAATACCGAGGAAAATTTTTTGCGATATAATGCATCGAATACCGGATTTATCGAATACCGATGCCATCGAATACCGGGGGTCCACTGTATTGCATTCATGGGGAAGTATTTAATCCATAGGAGTTATAGATTGCCTGGGGAATGGGAAGTAATCAGGTTTGAGTCAAGGAGGCAAGAGTAACTCTCTACACTGAATGGAGTAAGTTTTTAGGCCTACTTTGAGCTTTTGCAGAGCCTAATCAATGGACAGGAAATTTTTTAAGATTTCTGTGAGCCAATAGAGTTGTGATATAAAGTACTGTAGTTCTAGGTCTGGGAAAGCGTATTATTCAGTTATTTACAGTTGCTTGTAAATACAAATAATGACTGGGCTCTCAAAAATTCATGAAAAAAGCTTTCTTCTTTCAACAAACCAGCTGTATCCCAGTGAAGCAGGGTGGTCCAAAAAGAAAAATAAAGTTTCTCTTTTTAACTTTAGTAATGTATACAGGAGAAGGCATTACTAGCCCCTTGCTCCTGGCATGTTAGTCACCTCTTACGACATGCATGGCTTACGAAGGAAAAATTCTGTTCCCCTTTCCCATGGTGATAAGAGGAAATAAACAAGAACAAGAACTATTAAGAAAATAGAAAACCCCCCAGAGCTCTCTGTGTGCGTGTGTGCGTGTGCGTGCGTGTGTGCATGCGTGTGTGCATGCGTGTGTGCGTGTGCGTGCGTGCGCATGCGTGTGTACTCACCTAGTTGTACTCACCTAGTTGAGGTTGCGGGGGTCGAGTCCGAGCTCCTGGCCCCGCCTCTTCACTGATCGCTACTAGGTCACTCTCCCCGAGCCGTGAGCTTTATCATACCTCTGCTTAAAGCTATGTATGGATCCTGCCTCCACTACATCGCTTCCCAAACTATTCCACTTACTGACTACTCTGTGGCTGAAGAAATACTTCCTAACATCCCTGTGATTCATCTGTGTCTTTAGCTTCCAACTGTGTCCCCTTGTTACTGTGTCCAATCTCTGGAACATCCTGTCTTTGTCCACCTTGTCAATTCCCCTCAGTATTTTGTATGTCGTTATCATGTCCCCCCTATCTCTCCTGTCCTCCAGTGTCGTCAGGTTGATTTCCCTTAACCTCTCCTCGTAGGACATACCTCTTAGCTCTGGGACTAGTCTTGTTGCAAACCTTTGCACTTTCTCTAGTTTCTTTACGTGCTTGGCTAGGTGTGGGTTCCAAACTGGTGCCGCATACTCCAATATGGGCCTAACGTATACGGTGTACAGGGTCCTGAACGATTCCTTATTAAGATGTCGGAATGCTGTTCTGAGGTTTGCTAGGCGCCCATATGCTGCAGCAGTTATTTGGTTGATGTGCGCTTCAGGAGATGTGCCTGGTGTTATACTCACCCCAAGATCTTTTTCCTTGAGTGAGGTTTGTAGTCTCTGACCCCCTAGACTGTACTCCGTCTGCGGCCTTCTTTGCCCTTCCCCAATCTTCATGACTTTGCACTTGGTGGGATTGAACTCCAGGAGCCAATTGCTGGACCAGGTCTGCAGCCTGTCCAGATCCCTTTGTAGTTCTGCCTGGTCTTCGATCGAGTGTATTCTTCTCATCAACTTCACGTCATCTGCAAACAGGGACACCTCAGAGTCTATTCCTTCCGTCATGTCGTTCACAAATACCAGAAACAGCACTGGTCCTAGGACTGACCCCTGCGGGACCCCGCTGGTCACAGGTGCCCACTCTGACACCTCGCCACGTACCATGACTCGCTGCTGTCTTCCTGACAAGTATTCCCTGATCCATTGTAGTGCCTTCCCTGTTATCCCTGCTTGGTCCTCCAGTTTTTGCACCAATCTCTTGTGTGGAACTGTGTCAAACGCCTTCTTGCAGTCCAAGAAAATGCAATCCACCCACCCCTCTCTCTCTTGTCTTACTGCTGTCACCATGTCAAGAACTCCAGTAGGTTTGTGACACAGGATTTCCCGTCCCTGAAACCATGCTGGCTGCTGTTGATGAGATCATTCCTTTCTAGGTGTTCCACCACTCTTCTCCTGATAATCTTCTCTATGATTTTGCATACTATACATGTCAGTGACACTGGTCTGTAGTTTAGTGCTTCATGTCTGTCTCCTTTTTTAAAGATTGGGACTACATTTGCTGTCTTCCATGCCTCAGGTAATCTCCCTGTTTCGATAGATGTATTGAATATTGTTGTTAGGGGTACACATAGCGCCTCTGCTCCCTCTCTCAATACCCATGGGGAGATGTTATCTGGCCCCATTGCCTTTGAGGTATCTAGCTCACTCAGAAGCCTCTTCACTTCTTCCTCGGTTGTGTGCACTGTGTCCAGCACTTGGTGGTGTGCCCCACCTCTCCGTCTTTCTGGAGTCCCTTCTGTCTCCTCTGTGAACACTTCTTTGAATCTCTTGTTGAGTTCTTCACATACTTCACGGTCATTTCCTGTTGTCTCTCCTCCTTCCTTCCTTAGCCTGATTACCTGGTCCTTGACTGTTGTTTTCCTCCTGATGTGGCTGTACAACAGTTTCGGGTCAGATTTGGCTTTCGCTGCTATGTCATTTTCATATTGTCTTTGGGCCTCCCTTCTTATCTGTGCATATTCGTTTCTGGCTCTACGACTGTTCTCCTTATTCTCCTGGGTCCTTTGCCTTCTATATTTCTTCCATTCCCTAGCACACTTGGTTTTTGCCTCCCTGCACCTTTGGGTAAACCATGGGCTCATCCTGGCTTTTTCATTACTCCTGTTACCCTTGGGTACAAACCTCTCCTCAGCCTCCTTGCATTTTGTTGCTACATATTCCATCATCTCATTAACTGGCTTCCCTGCCAGTTCTCTGTTCCACTGAACCCCGTTCAGGTAGTTCCTCATTCCTGTGTAGTCCCCTTTCTTGTAGTTTGGCTTCATTCGTCCTGGCCTTCCTGCTTCTCCCTCCACTTGTAGCTCTACTGTGTATTCGAAGCTTAAAACCACATGGTCACTGGCCCCAAGGGGTCTTTCATATGCGATGTCCTCGATATCTGCACTACTGAAGGTGAATACTAAGTCCAGCCTTGCTGGTTCATCCTCTCCTCTCTCTCTTGTAGTGTCCCTTACGTGTTGGTACATGAAGTTCTCCAGTACCACCTCCATCATCTTAGCCCTCCATGTATCTTGGCCCCCATGTGGGTCCAAGTTCTCCCAATCGATCTCCTTGTGGTTAAAGTCACCCATGATCAGGAGCTTTGCCCTGCATGCATGAGCTCTTCTGGCCACTCTAGCCAGTGTCAACCATCGCTCTATTGCTCTCGTCGTACTCTTGCCTTGGCCTCCTGCTGTTCTGTGGTGGGTTATACATCACTGCTATTACCACCTTGGGACCTCCAGAGTGAAGTGTTCCCACTATGTAATCACTTTCTTCTCCGCTATCTCCTCTCTCCAGCTCATCAAAATTCCAGCGATTTTTGATCAGCAACGCCACTCCTCCACCCCCCCTGTTCCCTCTGTCTTTCCTCAGGATTTGGTATCCCGTTGGAAAGATGGCATCTGTTATCATACCTGTAAGCTTGGTTTCTGTAAGAGCTATGATGTCCGGTGATGCTTCTTTGACCCTTTCGTGCCACTCCTCCCGCTTATTTGTTATTCCATCAGCGTTTGTGTACCATACCTTCAGTTTCCTTTCCAACACTGTGGATTGGGGGGCCTGTGGGGGTGGGAGACCTGGTGGCATACTGTGGGATTCTATAGCTCGATGTTGGGTGGAGGCTGTGGGTATGGATTGTAGTGTGTGTTGGGATGGTGTGATAGGTTGTATGGTTCTGAGAGTAGTTGTGTGTGTGCTTGCCCTTGCTGTTCTGTCCTGCTCTGACTGACCTCTGCTGATTCCCTCCTTGTCTCTTTTCCTAGCTCCTTTCGTTTTTTTGTCCTCTCCCTCAGCTGCTGTCGTTCTGATTTTGTTCTGTCTCTGTCTAGGAACACCCTCTTGTACTCTTCCGAGTATTTCAATCGTGGTTTCTCTTGGAGGATCCTGTTCCGCACTGTTTCCGTGCGCGAGTGCGTGCGTGCGCATGCGTGTGTGCACGAGTGCGTGCGTGCGCATGCGTGTGCGCGCGAGTGCGTGCGTGCGCATGCGTGTGCGCGCGAGTGCGTGCATGTGTGCGTGTACGCATGTGTGCATGCATGTGTGCGTGTGCACATGTGCGTGCGTGCGTGCGTGCGTGCGTGCGTGCGTGCGTGCGTGCGTGTGTGTGTGCGTGTGTGCGTGCGTGTGCGTGCGTGCGTGCGCGTGCGTGCGTGTGCGTGCGTGTGCGTGCGTGTGCGTGCGTGTGCGTGTGCGTGTGCGTGTGCGTGTGCGTGTGCGTGTGTGTGTGTGTGTGTGTGTGTGTGTGTGTGTGTGTGTGTGTGTGTGTGTGTGTGTGTGTGTGTGTGTGTGTGAATGTGTGTGCATATGTACGTACATACGTGGTTGTACATGTAAGTGTAGTGTATCCTAAGTGTAAGCAGAAGTAGCGAGATGCATCTGAAGTCTTGCATGTTTATGAGACAGAAAAAAAGACACCAGCAGTCCTACCATCATGTACAACAATTACAGGCTTCCATTTTACACTCACTTGGCAGGATGGTAGTACCTCCCTGGGTGGTTGCTGTCTACTAACCTACTACCTAACATGATAAAAAACTATCAAGAGTAAAAAGGCCCTGAAATGGGCAATTCTGTAATATACTAGAAGTTTATATTTCTTCAGTTCTAAGTCAGTGTTGTTGACATTATAAATCCATTGTTTTATTTAGCTTTTACTATTTTAAAATAACCGATACTGTAATATCTCTTTGTTTTAAAGGTGTGGGACTTTGTGTTGCTGAGAAATGATACAAGGTTGATCTCAGGAAGCAGTGATGCAGAGCTGCGAGTATGGTCACTTCGATTCACTGATGCCGGTATAATACTCTTAAATTGTTCTTAAAATTATAACTTTTCTATTTTTATTTTAGTAATTTTTCTCTCTTTTACTTAGAAAATGCATTTTATTTATAATTTTCCCTTTTCAGATATTAAAACTACAAAGGAGACAATTGAAGAGAAATCAGATGAGCCGTCAAATAAAATACTTCATATTGACACCCAAGGGATGCAGTCTTCTACAGCAGACCAGGAAGACAAAGTAGAGGATGATGCTGTGAGTACATGACTTATTATGTATATAATCGCTATAAGTTCTAGAAATGTATGATTGTTGATTTTATATAACATATAGATGAGTTGTAAAATAAGTTAATGCTAAGACGTTGAGGAGAAAAATGGGATTTAAAGATAATGAATCTGAAGGAGGGGTGTTAATGTTGCAGTTTTATAACTGTAGTGTAAGTGTGCCTCTGGCAAGACAGTGCTGGAGTGAATAATGAAATTTTTTTTTTTCGGGCAACTTGCCTTGGTGGGAAACGGCTGATGTGTTAATAATAATAAAATAGAATCTGATACAGTGTGGGACTTGCTACAGTTACTTATTGCTGATCACATGGTTTGTTTTCGAGATTCTGAAGAGAAGTGGCAAAAGTTGATGGATGAATTTAGTAGAGCATAAAAAAGAATGAAATTAAAAGTAAAAATCAAGGTGATAAATGAGAGTAACTAAAATGTCTATGCAGTGTAAGATTGGATGTCAAATTAGAGAGAGGGAATATGGAGGAAGTAAATGTTTATATATTTGGGAATGGTCTTATCATCAGGTGGATCTGTGAAAGATGAGGTGAACTATAAAACAGATGAGGGGAAAAAAGACACAATGAATTTTCAGGCAGATATAAATCAAAGTCTTCAATGAGGACAAGGTTCATTTACTCTGCTATGGAAGAATAAAGGATATAAAGACTGACAGTACAGGACAGTCTTAAATAATTCAGTAGTTAAAGTCTCACATAAGAAATTTAAGAGTAATGATATCAGTAGATCTCACATTCAAGGATCACAATAACATTGCCATTGCTACCACAATGAAAATGATAGGCTAGATAACTAGAACTTTCAAGACAAGATGCTGAGCCAATGATACTCTTTAAGTCACTCGTTCTGTCTAGGCTGGACTACTACAGTATACTGATGACACCCTTCAAAACTGGTGAGATTGCTGAACTGGAAACCATACAGAAAACTTTTACTGCTCATATACTCTCAGTCATGCATGTAAACTTCTGGGAGTCTCTTCAGGCATGTAAACTTCTGGGAGTCCTTGGAATGTAGATGAGAACGGTACATAATAATATATACCTAAAAAATTCTGGAGTGACTGCTTCCAAACCTGTACACTGAAATTGCTCCAAATGACAACAAGAGACTTGGCAGATGGTGCAAAAATACCTCCACTAAAAAACAGGGGCATGACGAGTAAATTAAGAAAGAACTCGGTGAGTTCTTGATGCATACGGGGAATTACCAATAAACCCTTGTGATCTTCAAGAGGTAACCGGACAAGTTCCAGTTTCCTCTTGAAGATCACCAGCCACTCTGGTTTGTATGTTGGACTCTGTGTGACTAGCAGTAATAGCCTGGTTGATCAGGCCATGATCCTCCAGGAAGCCTGGTCTGGGACTGGGCTATTGACGCCCAGAAACACACTTCAGGTATCCTTCAGGTGTGTTACGGCATCTGTGGAAAGAAGGAAGTTTATCTCTTGGGGCAATAAAGGAGAATGTTAGAGTATAGTCATATCAACACTTTTATATAGGTTGAGGCATGGGCTTGAAGCATTGCAGTGAGGAGGCTAGAGACAGCGGAGATATCATGTCTGAAGTATAGAAAATGGAAGTCAATGTTGGTTACCAAAGTTATAATTCAGAGGGCAGTGGATGGGTTATTATGGTGGTTTGGGCATTTAAAGAGGAAGAAGCAGAATAAGATGACCAGAAGGGTGTATAAATCTGGGGTCGAGGGTAGGAGGGATATGGGGGTAGAGGTGATTTTGAGTGCTTGGGGTTGAGCATCCAGCAGGTTTTTGTGTGTAAGTTAGATCAGAGTTTTTTTTATGTTGGAATGTAAGCAGTGTAATAGATGCAAGGGGAGACTGGTCAACTGGACTTTGAGTCTAGAAGATGGAAAGTACAGTACCTGTCCTGTATTCTGAAAGGAGGGGTGAGATGTTACACATCATTGGGCCATTTGTGATGTCAGTGCACTTCTGGCAAGACACTTGTTGAGTAAGTGATGGTGAATGGGTTTCATTTTTGAGTTGCCCTACTTTTGTGGGAGTTGGTTGATGTTTTAAAAAAGATTGTTTATGTAAAAAATAATTGTAATTCATATTATTTTATTTTCTTGCAGAGTATTTTAGAAATTGTAAGATTGGGAAGTGTACTTCGCTCTCGTGGTGATCGAGTATGTGGTTTACATACCAATGACCGAGTGGTTGTTTGCCATGGCAAGTCTCCAGTTATGGACCTTTTTGTCATTTTGACAGATGAAGAGGTAGAGACTAAAGTTGCAAAGAGACTTAAAAAAACACGGAAACGAGCAAGGTATGTAATGGTTCATTAACCCTTTGAGGGTCCGTCCCGTGGTTCTGTGGCTTTGAAGCCAGGGTCCAAGCCGTAGTACTATGCCATGAGCTCAGCTCACTCAGATAAGCTGTGAGTGGTAAATTTGGGCCTAGATATGAGAGAATACTGTACATCTATGTGGTAAGTGTGCACCACATAAAACAAATCCTGCTGCACGCAGTGCATAATGAGAAAAAACTGCGACTGTATTTTAGGATTACAACAGCAACTTTGCGATGTTTTCTTGTATGTTTTCTACAGCTGTATTCACAGTTTTGTGGTCTCAATTGATAGAATGGAAGATATTTTACAGAAATAGATATGATTTTGATTGGTTTTAGTAATGAAAATGGCTTGAAACTGAGCTCAAAGTAGCGGAAATGTTCGATATGTGCTGATGTTAAGAGTAAACAAATGACATCACATGTCCAGTACATGTTGGCTGGTGGATCCAATTTGCATTCATGAATGTGCTGATATTATTTATACAATTATTACAATATTGCATAACAGTAAATCTTCTACACACCTTCTACTACCTCCACCTCTTCCTGCCTATATATAGCCGTCCTGCTCCACCTCTGTTAGTGTGACTTTGTCAATGGTCCAAGTCGGACCGAAACGTCGTCGTAAGCTTCTCTCTTTTATGTGCGGGTTATTTGTGTATCGTTCCAGTCACGGTATTGTGCCTTTTTGTTATTTATTTAGTAAATCTTCTGTTTTTTGGTGTGAATAAAAATTCATTATGTGAATAAAAAATCAAAATGGAATTCATCAGTATAGCCTGGAAACATAACTAATAAACAGAGGAAATGTTATTTTAGTGCCAGGACTGCCTGCATTGTTTATTCTAGACCCTATTTTGAAATTGGAATATTTTGAACTTTGTGTGAAATTGGCTAAATTACCACTTTCCGATCACTTTATTGGGTAGTTGAAACAGTTGACTGGGTGATTTCGTGTGCTCAGTCGATAAAATAAAAGTAATACTAGCGAAATAGGTAAGATTTAGTCGACTGGAATACTGCATTTGTCCTAAAATGGGAGTCAAAGTTGTCAATTCAAATTCAAATTCATATTCAAAGTTTATTCTCTATAAGGATTACAATGCAGAATTTGGTTATTGTGTGGTTTACATGTAGTAAAATAATAATTACAGAGTGTACCACTAGAACACCTAGCATGGCTAGGCATTTCGGGTAGACTTATATTAAATCTTAAGTTTAAAATATTACAAAATTATGAGGTAAGTTGGTATTATGGCTAAGTGACTAAATACTAGTTTGTGAGTTTAGCAATGTGAGTGCTTTTGTTTTGGCACTATACATAGTTTCAGTATTGGAGTATCACAGGCCAACTTATGACTAGTTAAGATTCATTATTTTGAGATTGAGATTGTCAGTGTTTAAATATCTCTGACGCAGGAAAATTCATTAGTGTAATTTCATCAGTTTTCTATCAAATTTTGTACTTTTTGTTTTATTACTACCAGAAAAAGATTCTCTACCATTTCATAAGAAAATCATTTTTTTTTTTAAATTCTTGGACCCAGTGGACAAGTTTCAAATCGGGGGTCTGGACCCTGAAAGGGTTAATAAGAGAATGTATAGTTTTAAAAACATAGAGAAAGCTAATCTTGTATAGTAATTGGATTATCAATTATGGTTACCATGACTTACACTATTTATTATATTTAGTGGTGACTACAAACCTGTAGAAGGTAATACAAAGCATTGAGTAATTGAAGGCAGTCAGGCTCAATCCATGGAAAGGGTGAACGATTTTAATTCCTTGCATCAAAAAATCCTCTCACTAGCATCAGGGAACCTTCTCTAAGGGTACCATGACTTAGTTATTTGTCTTAGATTTTAAATTATAGCTAACATGGGTATGAAAAGCATACATATTTATTCTATAAAAATATTGGTACATACCTTAATCTTTTGTACTGTACTTGCTCCAAAAGTAATTTTTTTTTCCTTAAAACTTGTCATATGGGGTAGTATACTCATGTTATTGATTACTCTTGTGTCTCCATAGAGAGGCAACTACTGTTGTTGAAGGACATGAAGCACCCCAACTTGCTGATGAAATAAGAAAACTGCCAGCATTGCGAGCAGCCAATAAATTGCTGGGATTGGACGTCTTCTCTGAGAAAATGGGTAATATGAAGATCGTTGCACTTCATGTGGATAACAGCCTGGTGGTGTATGGATCCAGTCTCCAGGCTAAAGAAAATAAAGCCCAGATTCACTGTAAAGAAACTTCAAAAGCTGTAAGTTTGATTTTTATATTTAATTTTTTTTTTTTAACATACCGTCTGTCCCACTGAGGCAGGGTGATCTGAAAAAGAAGAAAACTTTATAACTCTTTTCTTCTTTCTACATTTAGTAATTTATATAGGAGGAGTTACTAGCTCCTTGTTACTGGCATTTTAGTCCTCTTATGACATGCATGGCTTATGGAGGAAAGATTCATCCCCACTTTCTCATGGAAAATAATTTAGAAATATTTTTTTCAGCATGACTATTAAATAATCACGCAGAAGCATGATGGGAAGGGAGCCAGTGTAATTATGAGAGGAGGTAGGGACAGGGGAACAAAGGAGATAGTAGAAAAAGGTAAAAGTTGTAGTGGAAGTAGTAGGAAGTAGTGCAGTAGTGGCAGAAGTGGTAAAAAGGGAGTAGTGATAGTGACACTAGTCAGTGGAGTGTAAGCGAGGCAAAAAGAATAAGAAGCACTGCAGAAGAGCTAATCTCTCGTGAGGGTGGGACCAAAAACATGGGGATAAATTCAGGGGATAAAGCTCACCTCTGCAGAAGAAAGGAAAGGCAAAGAAAATAAAGGAAAAGAAAGGAGATAATGATCAGGTCAAGTTACAAGTGTTCTGAAGTTTAGAGCATTTGACAGTGTAATGAGAAAAAAAGACATTTACAG